TTAACATACTTACCGATGAGCGGCAAATTTTTTGTTTTCAGGGCGAATTTACGGCTAATTTCTGGCAATTGTTCCACATAGTTACACACATTTTTTTAAAGCGGTGGTGCTATGCAGTACGTTCTTTACAGATTGACTTAATTATTGTATAAAGATAATTAATTACTTCATTGAACTAAAACTAATTATTTTCCTATTATACTCTGTCCAACGAGTGCATACGTAACAATGACAGTTTGTAGGCTGTTACATTTAATATCAAATCCCCTAAAACTTTTTTGTATAACATACGTTTACTCAAAATTTTCAAAACAAATGCACTTAAATTGAGTCACCATGTACAGGGTAAGTCAACGATAGAGTAAAGTCCATTATCTCATTTGTTTCAAGGTTTACAAAAAAAAAATATTAAATATAAAAGATTTTTTTTTTTTATTAATTTTTTTGTAATAGAGTATACAGGGTGGTTCAAAAAGGTGTGGCGAATATAACATAACTAACTAAATTATTTTCTTCTAACCGCACGATTTTACAAACATTATTTTTTTATATATTAATGTTATATACCTAAAACTAATACTTTTAATAATATTTGAATTTGTAAAACTTTTAAATAAAAAAAAATTTGAAAGAAATGTTAGATTGCAGTGTGGTAAAAAATTGTCAGTGATGCCATTGTTTCTGAAGTTGGACAACTAAAATTTGGTAGGAGAATTTTATAGAGATATAGAAAAAGACCTATGTAAAGATATTTTAGTTAGATGTTACAGGGTGTTCAAAATATATTTTTGAATTTCAACTACTTAAAATTAAGAAATTTCAAATTTTTTAAATGGGACACCCTATATATTATCATTTTTTCTGATAGATTTTACAAAACTCTTCAACTTTTATTAAGTATGTCATATACCTATTTTTAATAGTTTGCGATTTATTCCATTTTATTTTATTTTTACCCATATTTTTAATACAATTGCGCTGTAACATCATAGTTGCCATGACAAAAAGTAATAATTATCAAAATTTCTTGTTTTTCAAGCAAGTTAAGAACAAAATTTGAATTTTAGTTTAATTTGTTGTAATAAGTATAAATGGTAGAGGTAATAGTTACAGATTTTCCTGAAATGAATTAGTCAATGTGACTGATAAACACGAAGAAGCCAAGAAAAACATATTTTTTGGTTCAGTACTATATATTATATAGTACTTTGCTAAGTAGTATTAATATAAGTATAATAGATATAGATTACATATCTAGAAAACATCTTCGTTGTGTAATGGGACGGTTTCGCGGCAGTAGTAATATTGATTTTACCAAATGAATTATAAACCAGAATTACTACGAGAAAAAACTTTACTGTGTGTCGAAGAAAATTCCTATATCAGTAGTCGTCAACAATTAGGTAATCTAGTATTACCTTAATCTGCGTGTATTCGCCCCGATGAAAAATCCAAGTGTCATCTTTCATAATATGGAAATACACCAAGAAATTCACGACTGCGATTTTAGTTTATTTGAGTAAATTTAATTAAATTTAACTAATACCAACAATTGTAACTAATTATTAAGCTACTTGTTAAAGATAAGTAATAAATAGTTTGTTTTGTCATGGTAACTATGATTTTATAGGGTAATTGTATTAAAAATATGGGTAAAATAGAAAAAATTGGAATAAATCGCAAATTATTAAAAATAGGTATGCGACTTACTTAATAAAAGTGGAAGAGTTTTGTAAAAACTTCCAGAAAAAATAATATATAGATGTCCATTTAAAAAATTTGAGATTTTTAATTTTAAGTAGTTGAAATTCATAGATATATTTAGCACTCTGTATCATTTAATCCAACAATTCTGTATCATTTAACTAAAATATCTTTTACATATATATTTTTTTTTTCATCTCTATAAAACTCTCCTACCAAATTTGGTACTCCAACTTTAGAAACAGTGGCACGACTGGCAATTTTTTACCACACTGCATTTAACATTTGTTTAAACAAATTGCATTATTACAAAAGTATTAATTTTAGGTATATAACATTATATATAAAAAACTTATGGAATTTTACGCAGAATCTAAAAAGAAAATAAAATATAGGGTGTTGCATTTAAAAAAACATATGTTATATCCGCCACACTTTTTTGAAGCACCTTGTATACTCTATAATAATTTTAAAATGTGTATCTTAACCTTGTAAAGCTCGAAACAAATGAGATAATGGACTTTACTCTATCGTTGACTCACCCTGTACAATACTTATGAGGTGACATCCTTTATAGAAAAAAAAATTGAACAGGTTTATACGTCATATTATCTCTAGTAGATATAGTACAATTCTTTTAAAAGTTCCTCAATATGGCCGACCTAGTTACGAAAATTGGTAATTTTTTTTTAATGAAAAATAAGTTGGCGTTACCGAATTCAGAACTTATATTCTTTGGTTAATAATATTTTTCGGGATTGTCAAGTTGACGTTAAAGCAGTTAGGTTAAAAGTTTGGTTATTAGGTGGCTGTCATAAATAAAAAACATTGAATTATTCAAATTATTTAAATAAGAATAAAGGTATTTTACCGCAGATCTCAAGAGATTTTATTTAAAGGTATTTATAAACTTTCCCAGTGAGAATATTAACTCTCTTTATTCTTATATATCAAGTTAAAGGACGTAAGAACTATAGCAAGTGAATTTTTGTTTTCATGTTTTAACGAGAGGATGATGGGTTTCATTGTTATAGAGTTGTTAGATCGCCTAATTTCTCTTAATTTGTTTATATTTCATTACAGTTAATCAGAAACTGAATCAATTCAAAAGTGTACAAAAACAGCTACATATTTTATTAAAACTCTTATTTAAATATTTTTATATACTGTTAAACTGTACAAGTCTTTAGCAAAAAAGTTATATATATATAAGGTAATACATTATGTATAACTTATGAAAGTTTCTATATAAACTTTGATTCTTAGACTTACGATTGTTTAACTCTACGGTACAGATGTATAGACTCTACAGATCTAATATACAATATGAAACTTCTATTACTTGTTTTTAATCTAACTTATATTCCAAAATTATTTATATATTTTATATAATAAACTATATTTATAATACAGTTTAATATTATTTATATTAAACTATATTAATTTTATTTCTAAGCTAAATATCTCATAGCTACTCATTTCACCTCATAATAAGGAAAAAGAAATGCTTAAAAACTCATTAAATGTGCTTTTATTTAAAATATCAACATACAAAATAGTCATCCATAATCCATGCAAACTGCAAGAATGAATATAAAGTAATATTTACAACTGTAAGTTAGAGTGCAGCCCAACTAATACAGATTTATTGTCATGCCATTCATGTTTATTATCATAATTAATTTTTATTAATAATATACTCTATTTTGGTGTCACTAAGTTATTTATAAACCCAATACTTATAAAATAAAATTAATACTACTAATTAACTGACCAGATTAAGCCCAATGTCACTCTTATCAGAAAAGCCAAAAATTTTTTTTTTTTAATATTCACTTATTTTAAATTGCCAGAAAAACATTAGAAAGTAACTTAAAACTAGGTTTGGAATCAGAAATGACTTGTACACCTAATAAAAATGCATATGCATCAACTAGAGATTTTGGTTAAGTATAGAGCGTACTATAATACGTAATTTTGCTTATAAAATAATTTTCCTTTCAAACGAGCAGTACCTGTAAAACAAATAAATAATAATTTTTGAATCAATAGGTTACTTCAACACATTCAAGACAATTTAGATAAATAATTAGTATATGCATGTATATATTTTATTTACAATGTGAAGTACTGCTTTAAGATAATGTGTTAGAACATCAACTCTTTCAGAAGACAATTCATTAGCAAAGAACTACAGAGGTAATAGATGATCTGGCAACATCAACCACTCCATTCAAAAATTCTAAGTGAATTAATAAATCAAATGTTACATATAAAAACTAACACTGCTCTACAAGCTTAGAAATAAATAACGTTTTTTAATTATGGGAACTACCAGACACTATCCAAATACTTGTTATTTGTTGGTATTTTGAGAGATAGACGTAATATTTTGTCATTTAGGCTAGTGGCTTCTCATCACCAACCTTTTTACATTTTCAAAGCTTTTGTGAAACTCTCTCTCATCTCTGATCTATAAATTACTCAGTGTCCTAAAGCTTTTTTAATATACTCTTTTTTTCTGTCTCCCTCATGTAGACTTGCACTGAACAATCACACAGGAGGTGCCTCATTATTTTCACTGCATTTTCGATTATCAATAATGAATCTGTATTTTCCAGTTAGGTCCATTTTTCAGATCTATGCAGATTATGCTCAGTAAAGAAATCTGTAAGGTGCTGTAGGAAATCTGTTTAAGTTGAGGCCGATCAACCAAATGGCTTGTCTTTAGCTTGGGGTATGGTTGTAGTAGGGATCCAATATTTAAAGTAATATATTCCCGACCTCAAAATAATTTAACACTATTCTGGATGTGGTGACAGAATTTATAATTTTGAAATATATCTAAAAATGGTCACATCAGGCTAATTCCACATGTAACAAAAACTAATCTAAAATTTGACTCTAAATTGGATGATAATCATTTCTCAGTAATGGAAAGATACATGACATTATTTCCTTGGGTCTTAGTTCGATAATTTAATTATGCATTTGTTAGAATGACGATATTTTCAGAAAAGATATGATGAAATACTAAACTTATTTTTGACAGAACTTACAACAATGAAAATAATATCTATACTTTTCAGCGGTTCATTTTCAAAAAAGGGTTCTAAGTTTTTCGCTACTGGAAGAAAATCTACTAAATAAACGGTAGTCTTTGTAAACACCACTGCTTTGATCCAACGACCAATTTGTCATTGTATTTTAGTGAACAAATTTGCCTACTAAGAGAGAAAACCAACAAAATATACTTAACCTTTCAGGAGGTGGGCATATCTCCTCCTGTCGTCAGAAGCAAAAAATACAAAGAACAAAGAAAGAAAGTATTTAAAATATCTAAATACAACTATTCAAGAGCATGTTATTTTTTAGCAGAAAGGTCTATTATAAAATGTTGACGTTCTTACAACAATGGTTAAATTTGAAAGCTGTAAATTAAATAAGTTGATTTTTTCTTTTTCAATTACAGATTGTTAGATCTCTAAATGTTTACCTTAACAGGAGAGTGAAATTTCATATTTGAAAAAGAAAGGTTAGTGTTACTATTGGTATCAATAAATGATAATGGCTTGAGACTAAGAAATAAATATTAGTCAAATACAGTATGATCAAAATGGAATTAGCCAATGTAATCGTTCATTTTTCTGTAGCTTGCATTTTCTTTAAAGAGAAATAAAAAGATCTTTCATCATTTATCCACCTCATTCGTCATTTGACACATCAGAGTCATCATCTAGATTTATGATGATTGGCTTCTGGACACTAACTATTAATTTCTCTTTCTCCCATGTGTCCTTAATTAATTTAGTACACTGGCCCACATAATTTGCCCATTGTTCCACAATGACTTGCTCCAAAGCTGCTTTCCAGCATTCTTCTGGGTTTTTTATTTTGAGAATATGCTGGTCATAGTATCTTTTTGTTTGACTCCATACCAACTCAATAGCGTTAAATTGGCAGTGGTATGGAGGCAAACGCAATACTTCGTGACCAGCATCTTCTATAATTTTATTTACCGCAAATACTTTATCATTTTTTGGGATTTTATTAATTACATCCCATAACACACCCAATGTAGAATGTTCTGGAAAGCTAATGTTTTTGGAGCGAAGCCACTGTTGAATATCACTCTTTTTCCAGGTTTTGGTGGGCCATTTATCTAGTTGACGACTGTGATATGCCGCATTATCTAATATTATTAATGAAGGTTTCTTCAAATTTGGTAATAATTGTTGATGCAGCCACTTTTCAAAGTTAATTGAATTCATGTCACCATGATAATCCCCCTGGCTTGTCTTGGATTTAAATAACAAGCCAGCATCCTTTATAAACCCTTCTTCTGATCCAGCATGGAGAACAATGTATCTAAAAGAAATTAATAATATTAATATAGTGTAAATTTTATTGTATGAAGTAAAATATTAACATGTAGAGCACATTATCTATTTAATTTATATTTTTCTACTTCTGCATGATATTGAATTAGGCAGAACTTACTGAAAAAAGGGTACTAAGGGCCATGCCTGTTTATAACAAAATTTTAAATCAACTTCATGATTACACATTTAATTCAAAAACTGTAAAACTACATCCTCGTGAAATTATGGGCAAAAAGTTTGAAATAAAATAATTATTCTGCTTTTTTTCTTTCTTAATAGAGATATACAGGGTGCTACAAATTGAGGTACGAGCATTGGTATCTCGGAAAGCCTAATAGATACGAAGATGGCTAAATTGTGGCAAAGTTGCGCCTTGGGATGTTTACCAACATGTTATCAAAAAAGTTTCAAAACTTCAAGGATTGCTGAGTTTTTTAGAAAAAAAAAACGATTTTTTGAAAAATCAATTTTTATTTTTTCCTGTTGTTACTTTTTCAGGACTTTACAGAAAATCAAAACTAATTGAATATCTCATAGCCACTTTATCAGGCCTATCTGGACAGTATTTTTTAGATTTTCAAAATTATCTGATAATTTGTGTGATACATAGGCCAACTTAATTTTTTAAATACGGACCTTAATTTTTATTAAGATTTGAAAGAATTCAGTCTCCCGAGTATATAACGATATTGCCAGTTTATTTTTTTTTTTGTTTTAGATACTTTAACAACAAACTGTTTAATTATTATTTAATATAATTATTTTTTTTTCTGGATTTTTTAAATTATTTAACCTGATTATATTCATGGCAACAATAAGGAAAATCGAGCCAATTAAAAGATTTAAATAACAATATCTATGTCAGCAATTTAAAAATATATCATTTTTAACTTTTTGTGAATTTGAATCTCAATGTATGATCTAATAATATGCATATTATTAATCGTAGTTATTATAAATACCTCAACTCCTACAAACAAATTTCTAATGCTCTACATTTTCGAAATGGTTTATTTAATACCACCCTCCCTATTGCACACATTTATTTTTCGTTTAATTTTATGTATAACCCTTCCAAAAGATCTTATACTTCCGACTTCCGAATGCATTTTGTACACTTTGTTGTAAATGATGATGAGGTACCTATACTATATTGATTTTCACTTTAACAAATGATGTCAACACACAGGTTCAGGAACCTCGCTGGCCATTATGCTACTCCACCATTCCCAATCCATCGTCCGAGGAAATTATTTTATTGTTTATTATTATTTATCTTATTATTTTTTTTTATTATTTTATTGTATTTGATTTTCCGTACTTAATGGCTTATCTCACGTCATTGTTCAGTTTTAAAACTCCTCAATATTGTAACAATGAATAGATTAAATATTTAAAAACAGCAAAGCCGGACTTGAAATTAGCTTAAATAAATTGTGTTCAAATTTCCGAAACAAAAAAATATTAAGTGTGGCACATCATTGTATTCAGGAGGCTGATTTCTTTTAAAAAGAAGGGCCAAAAATGCAGTTCCGTATTTAGAAAAATCAAGTTGGCCTCTGCATTTTACAAATTATCAGATAATAAAAATCTATAATACTATCAGATAGCCCTAATAAAGTGGCTATCGAAATGTGCAATTAGTTTATTGATTTTTTTAAACAGTAACGACATGAAAAATAAAATTTATACAAAAAAAAAAAAAAACGCTTTTTCCAAAAACTCAGCAACTTTGAAATTTTTAGAACTTTTTGATGGCATCTTGGTGAAAATTTCAAGGCGCAACTTTGCCCCAATTTAACCATCTTCGTATCTATTATGGTTATGAGATACAATGCTCGTACCTCGAATTTGTAGCACCCTCGTATATGTTACGGTTAAAGCCCGATGTCCGGTTAATGTCGACATTAACATGTTAATGTTTGGGTTAGGCTATGGGTTGTTTTGTTGTGTGTTTGGTTTACTGAGATTAACCGGGTAATGTCGAGATTAACCGGACATCGGACCTTAATCGTAACATATACACAAACAATATATACTAGGGTTACAACTTTCAAAATAAAAAATGGAGGACGAGAGGGTAAAAAAGTAGCACAGGTGAAATTATTTTGAAACCTCGCCCAAATGTCTAGAATTTACCAAAAGTTTAGTGTTAATGGTATGCAATTGATCGTCTCTCTTACTTTCTTAACAATATATATATGCTCAAAATTTGTTTAAATAAAACTAACCATTTTAACAAAACTTTTTTTTCAAAACAAGATTATCAAGCCTATTAAATATTTTTACAAAAATATTTCTTCATCATATTTTCTGTACAAATGAGTGAATGAACTAGCGAAAGACGCAGATTAATTTTTTAAAGCATTGATGGCGATACAAACATTTTTAGATATTGAGTTTGGTATGTAAAAAACAGACCTTTTTTCAATATCATGAGACAAAAGAGGACAGTGAGATCAAAAGAAGACTGTCCTCTGAATAGGGGACGGTTGGCAACCCGAACTTAAACACCACTTGCGTGATTTTTTATTATAATAACTTAGAGGTTAAGTTAGAGTTAGCATATGTTGGAATTATATACTTGTACCCAGTTCCATGAAGAGTAAATGTAATGCTTTATACCTATGTCCTTCTCCAGAGGATTTTCTTACAGATCTTACATCATCATCCTGCCATGATCTTCTAAATGAACCATTTGAAAATACCCAGGTTTCATCAATATATATATGCAGGGTTTTTTATTTATACCCAACTCTTCATTCGCAATAAATCTATGAAATTAATCAGCTAACTAGGTTATAAGTTACAAAAAAGAAGTACCTTTGCAGAAAATTTCTTCTCAAATGTGCTATGTGAGGCAACTCCATTAAAGCCCTGCGATTGTCATCTTTTTTTGTAAAAACCAATGTTTAAGAGATGACCAAGGCTGGTCGTACTACCACCGTAAATTTCTTTTTTCCATTGTTGGCTTCTGAAGGGATTTTTATAGTCACTGGTAATCTAAATAAATATGTATAAATACAGCAACCATGTCTCATATGCTATAAGTTAAAGTGTTACACCACATAACATATAATTAGATTCCTGCTTTTGACATGTGCCTTATGAACTTTGGTTAAAATTTCTAGACGTACCTATTAAAATATTATTTACATATTATAATTAAAAGCTTAATGGTATTATATACTAAATATATTTTTACTATAAATTAAATACTATGCAACTGAAAAATGGTTAAATATATTATATCGCCCAATGATGGATAATTCCTGCAAGCACACATGCCAAAGGCACAACTCTATTTTCATGATTTAAGCATAGATAATGTTAGAAATAGGTATAGTTATGAACACATGCACTAATAATTTCTACATGAATTGGAAACATGGGATATGAGCCATGCATAGAATTGTTGTCAACATATTCTCTAATTAAATTCTAAATGAAATAACTACATGGAATATGAGTCATTCATAATATCGTTATAAACACATTATCTAAGAAATTCTACATGAAATAACTACTTGGAATATAAGCCATCCGTAAAGTTATGAACACATTTTCTAATTAAATTCTAAATGAAATAACTATATGAAATCTAATTTTTCTAATCTCTTTTTTTTATAAATACCATTCGAGAAATTCTACATGAAATAACTTGGAATATAAACCATGCATTTACTAACTCATTACAACATACCTGTTGTTTGATATTCTAACTATATCTATTACAAACCTTAAGTGTTTTAAGTGTATAATTATTTCCTGTTTTTTTTTGTAGTATTTTTTTTTTTTTTTTTTTTTTTTTTATAAAAATATAAAACAATGCAATAAATAGATTCATAAAAACTACTACAATTATTGTACATATTGTATATTTCACATCTTATTTGGTCTTTGGTGCCATTCCCAACATCAGCTGTCTTCAGTTTCTTCTTCTGTCTTAAAGTCTTCCCAACTAACTCGTCTTTTGGACCTTCTTTATATTTCGAAACTGACTTGCAGCTAATTTGTAAAGCCCGTGCTGTTTCCTGAAATATAAGTTTTTTAATCTTACATTTACCTAAAATATGACAATAAATAACAAACCTGAAGGGGACTGTATATTGAAGGAAATTCTTCACAAAATATTGTAAACATTTTTTACCCAAATATCTGGGCTAGTTTATTCCCACAAATTTGTGGATGAGACATAGCTTCCTAAAAAAAATTAAGTGCTTTACACATTTTGAATATCTTCCTGGCTATCCTGATTTTCTTGAGCAGTGAAAGATTATTTATATATAAACAAAACATCATTCTTAAAGGTGATTACAATGTCATCACTTTGTTATATTAAAATACCTTTAAAAACTATTTATTACCTGATCCATTTGATTTTCATTATCACTATCCGAAATATTGGGCAACGGTAGTGATTGCTATGTTTCTAAAAGATATTAAATTAAATAAAACTAACAGAGATGCGTTATAGGTTATGATCTTACCTTAAAAAAAGGCTCTCTCTACTGTGCCCTATCCTGATTAAACCTACCCGATAATAACTATAAAAATACAAACCATTAAAAACACAAAAATAAACACCCTCCTGGGGGATTAATACCCTATATAAACAAGGAACATACAAGCTAAATTAAAAGAACACAAACAAAACAAAAGAAAAACCAAACACAAATATTTCAAAATCACAAACACGGGCCGCAGCGTCGATCGTCGATCAGAATAATCTACCACAGAAGAAATGCAAGGAAGGTTGGAAGAATCGATTTGAGCTATGGATTTGAATTCTATGATTGGTTGGTTTTTCAAGGCCCTTCCAATTCCTGAAGTCGGGCGCATTGGAAGTTTACGTGGAATACGAGTATATCTATATTAATATCTCGCAATAGTATGGGATTGGTCTCTGCACTTTTTATCAGTATAAGTTGTGAATTCTTATTAACAGCTGCTGCCGTTGGTGGATATGCCACGTAAAACTTCCACGTCACGGTATTGGAGGCCTCCACCGGAAAATCAGGGCACAGGTGGAGCAGGTAATTGCACTTATTGCGGAAAGGAAAAAGAAGAAAATCACGATAAAACCAAGAATCATATGAGGTAAATTAATTGTACATATTTACTGACAACCCCCTTTTTGCATAAGTCTTTCCTTTTATGAATTGCTTATACAGGGCGAGCCTTAAATAAGTGCAAATATTTTGAGGGCTGGTAGATCTCGATTAAAGTAACATTTTCTCTTTACCGTTTTTTAAATAAGTCCAAAATAACCGAGTTATTTTACTTTGAAAATTTCCAAAAAAATAATTTTTGCTCAAATGATTTTTTTTCTGGATTTTTTTTCTTGTAAATTTTACCTACTATATATGTTGCCATATTAACAAGAAATTTTGACTTTTATCTAAAAACCAAAAAAAATTCCAAAAAAATTATCAAAAAATTCCAAATTTTCAAAAACTTTTTTCACGAAAAAAACCTCATAATCATGTTTCTGGGGTCGAAATATACTACCCCTAAAAATATTGGCACTTATTTAAGAGTCACCCTGTATATACTTTTTATTTCCATACAAATATACATTATCGAAAAAAAAACGGCTTTGCGAGATGTCTTTGAAATGAAGATCGCCCTAATTTTACTGATATATATTATTACTCATATTACATTATATGAGGAATGCCATGAATCGTTATTTCCAAGCCACTTTTTTCGGTTATACTGTATGTAGAGAAACGAATTATTTTAATTTATTGTTTTAGTGCTGTCAAAAAACTATTTTGCCACTTTTGTGGTGTTCAGCTTTCATCAGATTCTGACCTCCAAAAACATAGCGACACAGAAGATCATAATATAAAAGTTAATAAAAGACACCCAAATCAAACTCTATTCATAATGGAAGGTCCGGAGGTACAATGGAATCCGGAGGTAGAATTAGATCTAAAATTACGTAAGCTAGTTTACAATCTATATTATTCAAATACACTGCGTTACGAAGTCAGTTTGGAATATCTAAAGTATTATCAACAAGAGATCACATTGAAAGAATATTGGTGGTTATATAAGTACATACGTATAATATTTTATAAAATTGTTGTACCTACCCGGATTGATTCTCCTCTGCTGATACTTCTGAAAGAAGACCTAAAACTTTTGCATAAGCGTGAGCATACGAACAATTTAAGAATTAATGTTCTGAACGAAATGGTAAGTCTGATAAGCTCATTGAACAAACCTAAACGTATGTTGCCATCAACTCTACAAAAAGATATTATCGACCTTGTAAAAAAGTGGAATAATAACTTTTCAAAGATTAATAAGTCTTTGGTCTGTGAGGAGTAAAAATTTCCAATATGTTTTGTATCCTGCGATTGTTTCTATATTTTTTTAATTTCATTTTACATTTTAATTTTTTCTATTGTTATTTTAATTCGTTCAGTTAACCCGTTATGTTAAGTTTGTATTACGTAATTGTTTTAAATATTTTGATTGTTAACCTTTTATTATTTTCACCTATCATTCTTTATGTTAAACTAACTATTATAAGTTTATATTACATTACTTTAGTTTGATCTATGTATACTATTTTTTAATTATTCTAAATAAAACGTTATATCATACAAATATATACTTAGTATTTTATTACAAATCTAATAAAGAACCTATTACAATATTTTTTACATGTAGGTGCTTATTTTTAATTTATAGGGTTAGGGAACAAATTTATTAACCGATAATTTTTTTTAATGTTTTTGAGGGTGTATATCTCACACGTGTCGGAAGCATTAAAGACACACAAAAATTAAAAAAAGTTATTTAAAATGTATAAATGTAGCTACTACGGGAACATTTTAATTATTTAGCAGACACTTCAATTTAAACCATTTCAGCAGCATTTCCGAAATTTGTTGTCTTATTGGAGTTTCACTAACTCGACAGTATCAGGTTTCCTATTTGAGATTTACAATCTAAAAGATGTGTGTAATTGAAGTTTGCATTTCAAAAATGTTATCATAGATATACAGGGTGAGTCAAATATATGTTTCCATTTAAGTTTGTGTTTTTCAAATGGAACGTATATTACTTTAGTTCAGTGGATTTACTATAAAAAATTTCCATCCAAAAATACCCTAATACCATAGAGTATAATGAGTGGTTTTTGAATTATGACAATTTATACATACTAAATTATATACACACTTAAAAAACCCGACAGTATAACTAATTTATTAATTGACTAGCGTGTACCAGCGACTTCGTTCGCGTCGAATTAATCATTTGTAATGGTGATGATAAAGCAAAGCAAGAATTTCCATTAACATACAAACTAGATAAAATTTTCTCACATTTATGTCAGCATGAGAAAAAACAATATGGCGATATTATTATATAACTTAGTAATATTTGAGGGGTAGTTTCATCTCGTTGGAATTTGACTTTCGAAAAATCCGTTTGCCAAAAATAAGCTTTTTACATCAAGCAGTTTAACCAGAATCGTGGTTAAGAAATTACCCAATTTTTTGTTGATTTTTTAAAAAATTTCAAAATATGTAAAAAAAACCAAATAAATTATGCTTGTCCAAGCGTTTTCCCGAAAGACTAACCGTTTTTTAAATAACAAATATTGTAATATTTGACGGGTGTTTTCACCCTCTTGGAAATTGAGATTCGAGAAACCCCTCCTTATCGAACCTCTACACCCCACAGTCAATCCGTTTGCCAAAAATCAGCTTTAAACGTCAAGCAGTTTAAGCAGAATCGTGATTACTCAATGGTCATATTTTATGAAGCACCCTGTATAAATTTATAAAAAAAATCTTATGTGTGAGGTTCAAGTTAACGTCTCCTTTCTGCTGCAATGGCTAAACTGGACGGGACCTACTTTGTTTACGCGGAATCCGAACCGCGGTCCTCGGCCATATCATGGTCAATGGCCTACCGACTTAGGAAGTGTCTAAATTAACTCTTACTCACAAGATATCCGATCTCATCCGGCCTCGAACCGGCGTGAATGAGCAGTGTGTATCAATAGATTTTACACTTTTCCCTTGGACAACAGCACGATGCAAAGTTTCGAACCGGTCACCCGTCCATCAACTAGCATCGCCTTACGTCGCTTAACTTCGGTGTTCTAATGGGAACCGGTGTTTCGACGTAGCTGGGCCGTTGCCCCCAAAATCTTATGTAAAACAACAAAATAAAATATACGTGTTTAAGAGTTTTTCCGAAAAACTCACCGGTTTTTAAATAAATAATATTTTAATATTTGAGGGATAGTTTCACCCCCTTAGAATTCGAGTTTCGAAAAATCCCTTCTTATCGACACCCTAAAGTCAATCTGTTTTCCAAAAATCAGCTTTTTACGCCAACCGTTTTAAGCAGGATCGTGATTAATCAATGACCAGATTTTTCGAAACAGCCTATATACATTTTTAAAAAATCTTAAAATATGTAAAACAACAAAATAAAATACACGTGTTTAAGCGTTTTTTCGGAAACTTTACCGTTTTTTAAATAAAAAATATTGTAATATTTGAGGGGTGGTGTGGTTTCACCCTCTTGGAACTGAAATTTCTAAAAATCCCTTCTTATCGGACCTCTACACCCTAGAATCAACCTGTATGACAAAATTGAGCTTCTTACGTTGAGTGGTTTGAGCAGGATCGTGATTAATCAGTATGTCAGTCACTTAAGGATTATATATTAGTATAGATAACTCGACAGTATCAGGTTTCCTATTTGAGATTTACACTAGAAATATTTTACAAAAGATGTGTGTAACTGAAGTTTACATTTCAAAAATGTTGTCATAGATATACAGGATGAGTCAAATATATTTTTCCACTAAAGTTTCAGTGTTTCAAATGGAACGTATATTACTTTAGTTCAGTGTTTTTGAATTATGACCATTTATACATACTAAATTATATACACACTTAAAAACCCAAAAGTTATGAAATAGCAAAAACTTTATACCTATTTTTAATTGGGAATATAATAAGTATTTTGAAAGACACTATATTCCACGATTCAGGGTAGAGCTGTCACAAGTACTGGAAAAAAGTATTTCAAATATCAAGTTTCAATTAGAGAGACGGAGATTAAATTAATCAATTAGATAAATCCAATCCAAATCAAATAAATCCAATTTTGTTTAACCGGAAATCGATCTAATTATTTCAAGTCCATACTTTGATCATCTGCGTACTGTGAATTTACTGCGTACTGAATCAATTTCAAGTTCAAATTTCCTTTTATTGTAACTTTGAAGATTCGGAATAATATAATTCAAAGAATTCATCAGTAGTGTCAATTATAATATTGTCTTTAATAGATACACTTTTAGTTACCTGTATTTTCTCTGCTACCTCTTCTGTGTGTGCTTGCCTTGTAGATTAATAAATGTCTTTTGATAGAATGTAGAATATAGAATGTTTAGGAGGGGAGTTAATCACCGCGACCTTATAGATCTATTGTGTGTTCCCCTTTCTTGAGTTATAACGAGTTATAACTCATCATAAAAACAACAAACAAACAACGCTTTATTGTAAAAAAGCCAAAACAGCTTCATCGACAAAGCACTCACAAAACTCAAAAAAATACAAACAACAAAAAATACACAATACAAAAAATACAATTCAAAAAAAATAAGTTTTTAAAATTACAAAAAGAATATACATGGACAATTATAGGACAGTACGCAGTAAATAGATATAATTTTAGAGTTATAAAATATTAAATACTTGACCTTTGACCAGTGTGTGAGATGATCAAAATTTTAAAATTCAAAATTGTTCATAATTAAACATCAACAAAAAAGTCGTTTACCGCATATAGGTCTCAGGGCTTTAACAAAAGCCAGTATCTGAGACGGCTCCACAGAGGTCAGCTCTCCATCCTCGACATCAGACGTACCAAAGTTCATGACATGAATGGTCGTCATCTCGGCGCACTCAGTCATAAGGTGTTCTGGTGTTTCCCCATTTTCCCCACAGAATCTGCATTCGCCGTTGTTTCTCAGCTTCAGCCTACTGAGGTGTTCGTTGAGGAGACAGTGTCCTGTTAGAAACCCCGTGACAATCCGAAGATTGTTTTTACTTAAATCAAGGAAAACCTTTGATTTTTCTCGGTCGTAAGTTCTGAGGAACTTTTTCGAGTGTCTTAGACCGTTGGAGGACATCCATTCCAAGTTACGGATGGATTCTTCCAGATTCTTCAGTTCCGCTTTCAGTTGGTTCCCGTTTGGAAAACAGAACGGTTCTGTTCCAATTAGTGGAGTGCTCGCTCCTTTCCTAACTAGATCATCTGCTTTTTCATTGCCTTCTATCCCTTGGTGAGCAGGCACACAGAGTAGGAGGACTTTATTTTCTTTGCATTCGTCTGTATTATTATTTTTTATAATTATTATAGAGTTCTTTTTTCTTGAAAAAGAATTCGAACTAGACGTCGCGTCGTGTTGTGTTGTGTCAATTTCAAATGTTAATAAAATTGCCCAAAAAATGTTAATGCGTAAAGGAGAGCGTAATTAGGGCGTTGTTGGGTGCAATAACATTCAATAACTCAGCTGTCCCGGATATTGAACTCTCCCGAAACAACACTTTATAGCTTAATAATTTGTTACATCGATTTGATCAATAGTCAATACCAAAATGGATTCAAGCAGTTCGACGAAGCAAGTGAGTAAAGCAAGTGCTAGTTACATAATAAAAAATTAAATAGACAAGTATGAGAGGATGAAATATAATTTGTGTGTGTGTGTGTGTGTGTGCAATATTAATGGTAGCTTTTTTAAATACATACATACATACCGCCATTACTCCCTGACGAGTATTTGACACGCATCAGAAGATGGTCACGCAAGGCGTTTTCTTTCATGAGCTTTTCTGTGACTGAAAAGCCCGATACGTGATGTTATCTGTCTACCGCACTCCAGACATTCAAAAATCTCATCGCTTTGTTGCCTCTTTACTTTTTGGTTGTCGCTCTTAACTGACTTTACAATTTTTCTCCATTCCGTTCTATCGTGAGCTGCCTCTTCCCACTCATTCTGCTTGTCAATTCCCTTTAAGTTTTCGTGGAAAATATCCTTGAACCTTTTGAGTTGTCCACCCGGCCTCCTCTTACAGTCTACAAGCTCACCGTAAAGCAGAGATTTTGGTATGCGGTTTTCTTGCATTCTGCATACGTGACCAGCCCATCTTAAGCGGGACTTTGTAATCATGACTTCAATACTGTCGCAGTTAGCTTTTTCAAGGATCGATACGTTTGAGACGTGATGGAACCATTTTATTCTTAAGAGTTGTCTAAGATGTTTCTGTTGCAACTTGTTTAATACGTTCATGTGTCGGCGGTACGGCACCCAAGTTTCGCTTCCATATAACATGGTGGGAATTATTATCGCTCGGTACACCGCAAGTTTCGTTTTTGTGCTCAAGTCATGATTGTAGAAAACCCTGTCTTTTAATTTCCAGAATGCTCTTGAGGCGCTGCTAATCCTGTGCTGAATTTCAGAGTCGATATTGGCCTTTTCCGAAATCAAACTGCCTAGGTAATTGAATTCCGCTACATATTCCAACAGTTCATCTCCGATTTTTATAGCATTGTTGTGATCTTCCGGGG